CCAATCTTCTGATTCGAAGTCAGACGCCTTATCCATTAGGCCGAACGAAAAGTCCGCGTCGTAACTTGTTAATGTTTCAATTCTTCAAATACTCTAAATCTTTTTATTCATATTCATTTGTTCGTTTTTTTGGTATGTACAAAACAAGATGATTTAAAGAGTGAGTTGTTACTGATAAAATATATAGTAGTCGAAAGAGGATTTAACCCATGTATTGTTGATAGAGCAGTTAATAAATTCACTAATGTGGCAATAATAGATCAAGGTATCACACTGAAACCAAGTTATGATAAAATTAAAGAGGAATGTTTAGTGTTACCAAATATTCCATGTTTAACTACTGGTTTATTTAAAATTTGAAAAACAACAACAAATGTTTTTCTGTATATTTAAACCGATAAATAATATAAAACAAATTTTAGGCAATAGCAAAGATGATGTACAATTAATGGATAAATTTGGAATTTATAAAATTGAATATGAATGTGGAAGTATTTATATTGGACAACCAAAACGTAATTTATCATATAGCCGAACAAAAGAGATATATAAAAAATGAATAAAACGAAAATTCGGCTCTAGCATAATATGTAAGTAATACCCAGCATAACATATTATGGAAAAAAAACAACTGTATTAGCTCAACCTAAAGGTTTTACAGGAACTAATACTCGAGAATCGCTGAAAATAATGAAATTTAAGAAGATTTATAAATTCTTAAATAGAGATGAAGGTCCAGCAAATATCTGTTTAAGAATGTACCGAGACCTGTTCTGATATTTATGTACAAATGCCAAATTACAGACAGGTCACGTGATATTTAAGAAAATATAAATTGTGAAATTTATATCTGGCAACTTCACTTCTGAAGATGACGTGTGACACGTCGAAACATGTAGAGTCATTGCTTTGAAATGATTTTAATTGTGTATTGATTTTAACGTTGTATATTTATTATTTTAACTTAAACCTTTGAACAAAACTTCTATTTGTTGCTATATGGAAATTATTAAACACACGTGTAAAACTAACCTTCAAACAGCATGCAATGTCTTCGAAATACGAAATCAGTGTATTTTATTTAGTGAAGGTGATGATGTAGATTTATGTAGGCTCTTAGTTCTTTCTTTCGCCAATGGATGCCTCTCTATGCTTCAGTGTCAACTGAAAGAGGAGGCTGATCTCACCAGTTTGTTCTTTTGTACTCTTTAATATTAGTTTATTATACGAAAAACCAGTTGAGATAAAACGACATCTGCTTAATATATATATATATAATACAATGTATAAATTTATCCAATCATTTACAGTCATTTTTGTTCTATTTGTAGATTATATTCAGTTTTTATAATTATTATAAATTGTTTAATAATAAGCTTATAATCTACCAAGAATTATGTGCCAATTTTTTCGAATTTCGTAAGAAGTTAGTCACATTTGGTTCACTGAAAATACTCTGTGTAACTAATGTCTGTATTTTTTCAGTGATACATGAGCTTAAATAATTCTTATTTTGTTGTTTAGATAAAGTGAGATACAGGTAAAGTTAATATAACGTGTAAATATTTGATGTTGCTTACTAAGTAGAACGGACGTCATTGTCAGGGTCGTAGTGACTCAGCGTGTTACTCAGGTTCTTTGTAAGCGCACGCATAAAAAAATAACTGTTTCTGACAAAGTGGCGTGAATACTTCGGGAAATGGGCATTTTTATAATTTTTATGTTGAAATATTTGCATTGTAAACGTATGAGTTCTTCATAATTTACTTCTATATTTGCACATGTGTTTGTTGTTTTCTCAGAAATAGCCCTTGTTAGAAGTGTTTAAGCACTACTTTAACAACTGAAAAGGCGCTGTTAAAACATGCATTCACAGACAAAATTTTACATATATATAGATAAAGGACAAGCAGATGGAAACATCGAAGCTTGAAAACATTACCGAGTTTATAACCACTGTCTGCGGTATACATTATTACCATGAAACTTGTCATCCTCGTGCCCTTGTTCATGTTGCTTTTCGTCGTCTTGATGAACTTTGCTCAATGTTCTCCACAGTTTACAGAGTTATTCTGCGGTATGTATTAAAAATCTTGTAGCGTTTACAGTTTATCCAACCTTTTATTAGGCTACATGTCAGAGAGATAGCACTTCCACTTAATATTTTATGAAGAAGCAAGAGAAAACAGCATGCTTTCAGTCGACATAAACTTTTCGATATCTTTGTTCTGCCAAACGATAATTGGTCCTTAACAGAGACAGTTACCTTTTCGAAATGCTCCTATATTAGGTATTTAAAAAGGAAATGACTCGAAATTTTAAATCGTTATTGAAATATCCACAGAACTTTCATATTTGACCTAGAGCGGATTGTGGATTCAAAATGGCCTGAAGAAATTATTTTTACACTAGTTCTCCACACAAAAATAATTCTAATATTTATCCGCGATACAAACGTTAATGGAAAAGTTGGCTCAAATTAAATCGACTTAGAAAATAATTCGCTCTTTTTTCTTTTTTTTTCGATGGACCGTTGGCTTAAGAGGAGTTTTTCCCGATATCTCGACTGCCCAATCCGCCACTGGGTTAACATGTCCAGAAAATAAGAATTGTATGCATAATATTCATTCAACTGTATTATATATATATATATTAAAAGCTACGTTATTTATGACTCTTTTTTTTTAGAAAATCCGACATAAAAATAACAGCTTTTATACTTTTAGTATCCCGGTAACATGAATCACTTGAACTGTGTGCCATATAAATCATTTAGTTTATGTCGATATATATTATTCTATTAAAACAAATAATTGTATGTAAGAATTAATAAATGATACCATTCTATGATACCATTTTATGTTTTACGGATAACTAATGCTCATAATTTGTTCTTATAATAGCCAATGGACTGAGTTCTAAAATAATACAAAAACGCCACGCGTGTTTTATGAGAGAATTACCAACTTCGGTAAGTACTGTATTTTTTACCAATATGCTCATAAACACTGGTAAAATTAACATTTATTATGTGGTAATTGATAATCATATATAAACATAATACAAAATTCTATAAACTAGAGCTTTATAGAACTTACGTCTTATATTTAAATGCATGCTACAGGTGATACTTCTATTAAGGCAATATATGTGCAACGAGAATGAAGAAGTTACATGTAAATAAGTATTATTCATAAATATATATGACTTTCATATATATTTGCAAGCTTATGATTTTAATTTTAGATACCAAAAACCAAATTATAAACTACCAGTCTATGTTCAAAAGTCAAATACACGTTCAGAAAAATAAGAAATAAATAAATGTATAAGAAAAGCCAGGCAACATTTCAGGCTTGACATTTTATTATAGTTCACGTAGCACAAGAGAACGTATATACCTTTATAAGAAAGTTTATTTTATTTCGAAAAATATAATTTATATATATCTAATTTGTTTTGTTTTTAATTAAGCACAAAGCTACACAATGGGCTATCTGTGCTCTGCCCATCACGGGTATCGAAACCCGATTTCTAGCGTTGTAAATCCGCAGACATATATATCTAAAAGGGAATAACTAATGGCCATGTAGGACCGGGTGTGGCCCAATGATTAGTGTGTCGGGATGCATATCGAAGGGTCTAGGATTAGAGACGTGACGACGCTGAACACTTTCAACTGTGGATGCAATATAAAAGTGACAATGAATCCTTATAATCAGTTCACAAATCCTGGCAATGTCCTTGTGGCGGTGAGTGAGGCTGGCTGTCTGCTTTCCCTCTGGTCAAAATTAGGGCTGACTATTTCCGAGTCCTAGAGTTCTTTGACATGGCCATTTAGTCGACATGCGAATTAAGTGCCGTTCGGGTTGAAAATTCTAATTCCAATGATCACGATACCGCATTTCAGTTCATGAGGAGATTCTGTAGATGAATATTAATTAACTCGTAAGCTTAAAAGTGGTTAATGTTTCTTATTAAGTAGTGTTTTATCCTTAAAAGCTTTCAAGCAGAGTAGCGAGCTAGATATTGCAAAATTGACCTTCATAATAACGTTGAAATTAACGAACTTGTAACTTTTTAAATGTTGATGCTATAACGCTTCGAAATTTGTCAAAAAGATCCCATTAAGGTTATTCCGTATTTTCAACTTAACACAGGAGTTGAAATGTAAGTCACACGTGTTTGTATGAAAATGGTAATGTAACACAAAAGTGTACCTCTTCTCGTTTCCAGATGAGAAACGCATGGAATAAGTGTAAGAGTAAAGTCTTCAAGAAAAACTCTCGTGGTTACATCAGAAAAATGTGTTCTAACACAAAGGCAAAGAACAGTGTAAGTATACGTAAAGTTCAGTTCGATTAAATCGTATCTAATGTTTCAATGGACACTGGAAATGTTTTCCTGTACAGTGATTAGGATAATAATAAGTTAGTCAGCTGTAGTTTAGATATAATATCCTTTGAAGTATGTTTACATGATTCAAACAAAGTATTAGAGGTGTTTTGATGCACAGTGGTGGGGATACTATAAGTTTGTTAGTCGTAGTTTAGATCTAATATACTTTGAAGTACGTTGACATAATTCAAATAGAACATTAAAAATGTTTTGATGTACAGTGGTAGGAATGTCGACCAGCTATATAATACTTTGGTATAGTTCAGCCAGGATATGAAAAGTTTGCTAGTGAAGCATACCTATAGGACATTTAAACAGGAGGTAGAACTAGCGTAGTTAAGACCGGTAGACGTTGTTAGTTGTTGATACTGTTTCACAGCAGTATCTCCACCGACTGAGAAAACCAAAGTATTATAGCATCGTCGTTTCTTATAAAATCAACTTTTAACTAAGGGATTCCTCTAATACTCGAGGGCTGGTATAAACCTAACTTTGAGCCACTAGTTGGACAGACCTGAATGTTAAATTATAGCAGTGGTAATCTGCGTACTACGTCATAAATATATAATATATGGGGGAGGATCGATATAATAATATTTTGACATGCTAAGTCTTCTAATGATATGAAGACTTGCCACAGTTACATACATACATATGAGAATTGATATAATAAACGCTTTTCATATTATATGTCCTTTTAACATTGAAATGTACTTTGTTATGCACCTCATACGTTCATCATTTTAAGATACGTGCAACTGTACACGCATACTGCAACAATTGATCACTGTTATAATGTTTCTACAGGATACAGCTATACTAACGTTATTATGTACGTACAAGTAAGATACAGCCTACTAATATTATTATGTACGTATAAGCGAATTATGGTAAAATTTTGTGTTTTTAAATTATATATTGCTTTGTTTCTTCTAGATGTTTCAATGCGTAACACAGAAAATGGTAAGTTCAAGAGAAATGTCATCCTTACTTTCATGCTAGATAAATAATACTTCGTAGATGTCACTTAAAAGTAGAAGTTACCATGATAAAAAATACAAGAAAAAATATAAAATAAGTGACTTTCTTGGCAGTTAACTTTTCAATGACAAGTAATTAACACTATTTAATTACATGAGTTTGATTACTCTTTTTTAATATTGTAATATTATATTAAATTAAAACCACATAAGTATTATTTTTTTCAGGAAGATAAACCATGACCAGTTACTGTGTGGCTTTCCTTGATTGTAAAATTAAGAAGAGATCTAGTACCTGTTTACTAACAATACTTAACCAAACAGTTTACTATACTTGATTACTATATAGAAAAAGGACTTCGTGTATTTGTCTAAGAACAATTAATCAAACTTTTTTTTAATGTTACATGCAAATGAAATTTTATATATATTTTTTTTCTCATAATATTCAAATTTTAGAGTTTTTATGCTAACACTAATTCAATTGAATATTTGAATATTGCCATTAGGTGAAAAGGCGATATTCTTAGTTTAATGTTAAAGGTAACTTTCATATTTTAACAATACTGTTATTTTCATATTTCCAGGCAAACGGACAAGTTAACTTGTCGTCTCTGCGTGGAGATTTAAATTTACAGGTGAGTTTCCTTTTATCCCAATACGAAAACTTGTTCTCGAACTATAGCAACAACTTGTATTTCCAGTCACCTTGCCCTCGCTGTACCCAAGGCCTTAACCTTCATGTGGAATTCCGTTGAAATCGGTAATTTGCAAACAACAACAAAACTCTGAAATTTACTTCCTCCTTGGAGGGTTAAGTTACACGGTTTTCTATATGAAATTCGTTTATTCCACGGTCATAGAAGCATGCAAGGAAGGTTTAGCGTTTCGAAAAAAAGGGATATTTTAAAGTATTTAACCGTGTCGATAAAGCAAAGTAAAGCGTAGTTTCAGCTAGTAAAAAGAGCATAACCGGCTACCAGTAGATAGTGAAGAAAATTCAAACAGCTTGTTACCAGAATTAACCCAAAAATATACCGGTCTGTTAGAGCTAATGTAAATAACTCACACAGAAACAGAGGTACATGTGCTGTGTTCACTACCGGATCCCAGGTACATGAGCTGTGCTCACTAGCGTCTCCCAGGTACATCAGCTGTGCTCACTAGCGGACCCCAACGACATGAGCTGTGCTCACTAGCGTCTCCCAAGTACATCAGCTGTGTTCAGTAGCGGATCCCAGGTACATCAGCTGTGCTCACTAGCGTCTCCCAATTACATCAGCTGTGTTCACTAGCGGATCCCAGCGACATGAGCCGTGCCTACTAGCGTCTTCCAATTACATCAGCTGTGTTCACTAGCGGATCCCAGCGACATGAGCCGTGCTTACTAGCGTCTCCCAATTACATCAGCTGTGCTCACTAGCGGATCCCAGCGACATGAGCTGTGCTCACTAGCGTCTCCCAAGTACATCAGCTGTGTTCACTAGTGGATCCCAGCGACATGAGCTGTGCTCACTAGCGTCTCCCAGGTACATCAGCTGTGCTCACTAGCGGATCCCAGCGACATGAGCCGTGCTTACTAGCGTCTCCCAAGTACATCAGCTGTGTTCAGTAGCAGATCCGAAGTACATGAGCTGTGTTCACTAGCAGATCCTAGAGTAGAACAGTATGCATGCTATTAAATAGTGCGTTTGCAGTCATAATGCATATGACACGTCTGAACTGACCTGATAATCCGATTCATCTTACAATAAATACGAAAATCACATTCAAAAGGCTATTTTAAACAACTTAATAATAACAACGTTTTAACTTTCTTGGTAATTAATTAACTCAGGTACTCAATGTATAACTAAATCGTTTTATTGGAGGTAATTAATCGTTTATGGTGTTTTATTATTAAGTTATTTCGTTAATAGTTTGATTCAGGATTTTCAGAACAGTTGTAATTTTGAAAATCATTTTCTTTCTTTGCTTCAGAATTGTCTGGAAATTAATGGGCAATGAAATACGTCTTGGCGAAGTACAGCAATGCTTGGTAAGTCGAATACTACATTAACCAAACTTAAATAGCTATGCAAGAGGCAAATTTACCACAAAAAGCATCATATCATTATAACTCTTAATCATAAAGCCGAAATAAAATCTTAGATGTACTACAAGGGGTAACTCCTTATACTTTGTTAATAGCTTTTCTATATATTCCTAAAAATATTTCACGTTTATTTGAAATTAATTTGGACACGAGTGAAACGCCATTCTACGAGAATAAATGCAAATTGTATTTATTTATCTATTTGATATATTGTGCTATTCTGCAAATATATGGGCTTTTGTTGTTGTTCTTTTCTAACTTGAACGTATAATTACTGACGAAAGCTTTTCTATTAGTTCTACAAAACAAGTAAACTTAGCTGACTATTACAGTAGAACTATTACTAAGCTGTATCCTTAGTGCTGTTGACATACCAACGTTCCTTAGTATTCTAAACTTTTAAATATAAAAACAACTTAACTATAGCAGGATGAAATTACAAAAATACATCTGTACATTCTCGAATAATATTTGATAAAAAATCTCAATAATCCATTACAACAATGCATAACAGACTGAGTTTTGACAATACATTATATCAATAATCCTGCCACTGTAATTATTTTGAATAGGCCTGGTAAAGAGACGAATGTGCAACAGAAAAAAATATATATGTGAGAAAGAATGAGAAGATGAAGAAAAGATGTTTGTTTTGATGTATTTTCTCTGTAGTTTGTTTAATATGATAAATCATAGATATGTATATTCTATATTTATTGTGTTATTCTAAGGAATTAAAAAATTGTTAGTGCTATGCACCTGTCACATTGTCCTTGAAATGTTTCATAATGTCAATTAAACATTTGTGTTTAATGTAAACATTAAAATGTACCAAAATTATATTTATCTAAATATAATCAGCCCCATAACCCCTAGAGATATCTATTTTGCATAGTGATTGATTGTCGAAATATTAAAATTAAGTCAAAAAAGATATATTTGATACTTATGCTCCAGATATAGTCTCGATTGCAAACTTATTATTATTTATATTATATTTTAAAAGCTAACTATTAACATATACTCTTGTTCTTAAACACGAACAATATCGTTCAAACATATCTCATCTCAAAAGTCTTCGCTCAGTAAAACAAAACAATATCTGAAGGCTAGATCAACAGCATGCTAACTACTAAGTAGCCTTAGCTCAATAAAACTACATCAATAATACGCTAACTACTAATAAATCTTAACTCTCTAAAAGTAAATAATATCCGAAGACTAGAACAATAATACGCTAACTACTAATGAATCTTAATTCTCTAAAAGTAAACAATATCCGAAGACTAGATCATGAACATGCTAACTACTAAGTAGCCTTAGCTCAGTAAAACTAAACAATATATAAAAGCTAGATCAACAATATGCTAACTACTAAGTAGCCTTAGCTCAGTAAAACTAAACGATATCTGAAAGCTAGATCAATAACACCCTAATTACTAATAAATCTTAACTCTCTAAAAGTAAACAATATCCGAAGACTAGAGCAACAACATGCTAACTACTAAGTAGCCTTAGCTCAGTAAAACTAAACAATATATGAAAGCTAGATCAACAATATGCTAACTACTAAGTAGCCTTAGCTCAGTAAAACTAAACAATATCTGAAGGTTAAATCAACAACATGCTAACTACTAAGTAGCCTTAGCTCAATAAAACTAAACAATATCCGAAGACTAGATCAACAACATGCTAACTACTAAGTAGCTTTAGCTCAATAAAACTGAACAATTTCCGATGGCTAGATGAATATTACGCTAACTACTAATAAATCTTAACTCTCTAAAAGTAAACAATATCCGAAGACTAGATCAACAACACGCTAACTACTAAGTAGCTTTAGCTCAATAAAACTGAACAATATCCGATGGTTAGATCAATATTACGCTAACTACTAATAAATCTTAACTCTCTAAAAATAAACAATATGTAACATGTTATGTAACGAAGTAACGTGTTATGTTTTTGAGTTAACATCGATTTTAACATTTAATTATTTTCACTTGAAATATTTCATGACTGATAAAACAAGATGCAGATTTATTATTATACATATATTTCAATATCGATGTTTGTTTAATTAAATTTATACTTAGAAATGTACATAACTTATACTGTTAAATATGTATTGCGAAACTTCCGCCTATTCTCTAAAGTTGCAGAAGATTCTCGAGTGTAAGAATCCACAATATACGTGTGTACATAAACGCTAGTGTAGCGTTTTTATTGTTGCGTAACTGAACTTTTGAGAAACTCTCCACACGCCTATAAATATAACCAACGCAACGCACCTAAAAAGAGTATCTATTATTGGTTTGCTATAGTTGGTATGCTATAAACTTCGGAAGCTATAACTGTGGTTGATATAACGCTTATTAATCGGGACACTTCAGATATTTGACCAGGAACATTTATAAATCTCGAACATTACAAACCATTTAACTTCAGTGGATTCACATCGGACATTAGTACTTTTACGAAAACATTACCTAACGTCATGATCAGTAAAGACCACAGAGTTAGCTAGCTCCCTGTTAAGTAAATTGTATCTATGTCAACTCGGAATTAACTCGCTCATCGTGAACCCTCGATAAGATATCAAGGAAGTTCCA